TTGTTTAGTTACTGTCAGTAGACAGGTATTTTAAAATAACTCATTAATGTGTTACTAAAAACAGGAAATGCCGTCTAACGGGATCTCCGGATGGAGAATTCCACAGCTGGTTGGAACCTATATGAAAGAACCAAATGGACATCCCAGGGCTGCAGGTCAGCCTCATGAGACAGGTGACGGCAGACTGGACCTGGTGGCAGGTGGACCATGGAGGGGAGACAGGGCAACAGAAACGGTGCAAACAGGCACCGAAATACCTGTGGGAAACAAAAGCACAACACAGAACAGGGGACTCACGTGACTCTGACTCAACAAGACGCATTAGTTGAAAGATCTAATATATGTGTATTGGGCTTCCCAGAATAAGAGGAAGGAAGGAAGGAAAGAATGAGACATCACTGTAAGACAGTGGTTAAAAAAAAGAATTCCCCGCTGGGTGCGGTGGCTCACGCCTGTAATCTCAGCACTTCGGGAGGCCATGGTGGGTGGATCACCTGAAGTCAGGAGTTCAAGGCCAGCCTGACCAACATGGTGAAACCTTGTCTCTGCTAAAATACAAAAGTTAGCTGGGCATGGTGGTGGGTGCCTGTAATCTCAGCTACTCCTGAGGCCGAGGCGGGAGAATCGCTTGAACCCAAGAGGCAGAGGTTGCAGCGAGCTGAGATCCAGCCATTGCACACCAGCCTGGGCAACAAGAGCAAAACTTCATCTCAAACAAACAAACAAACAAATAAACAAAATAGAAGAATTCCCAAATTGATGAAAGATACCAACCCACAGACTCAAGAAGCCTAGTAGGACTTCTAGTAGGACTTCTGCTGCTGGCCACGATGCTGCAACTTGTCAGTGTAAAATAAACAACAGAGAGACCGGCTCTCCCAAACAAAGTTTACTGGGGGATGGCAGGGGATTGCAATCTGGGATATGCATGCTGTAGGGGACCGTAGGTGTGTCTTTCTTTTATGGGTGAGATGAGGAAGTCTACACAGATTGTTTTGGAATAAACTTCACTGGGTACAGGAGCTTATTGCAGGGTTAGTGATCACTCACGGGTAACACAATTGTTGCTGGGGAGGCGTCTTCATAGGAGGAGCTGATCTGGAATGTTGTGTGCTGTCGGAGTCCCTGCAACAGTTCTCATCGTAGGCACCTGGGCATGAGGAACCTTTCCTTGAGGCTTCCCAGCTACGTTTTGCTTGGGTCCTGACGTAAGTGACTCTGCCTTGGTATTGACAATTTTCACACAGTGGAGCCAATTTCCCCCGTTTGTGTGCCCTCCCCCAGTTCATATGCTGAAACCGAATCCCTAATGTGATGACATTATGAGGTGGGGCTTTGGCATGTGCTTAGGTGGGTATAGTGAGGGTGGAGCCCTCAGGAATGGGTTAGTGCCCTTATTTATTTATTTATTTAATTTTATTTTATTTTGAGACGAAGTCTCACTCTGTCGCCCAGGCTGGAATGCACTGGCGCGATCTTGGCTCACTGCAAATTCCGCCTCCTGAGTTCAAGTGATTCTCCTGCCTCAGCCTCCCGAGTAGCTGGGATTACAGGCACCTGCCAACACGCCCAGCTAACTTTTGTATTTTTAGTAGAGACAGGGTTTCACCATGTTAGTCAGGCTGGTCTTGAATTCCTGACCACAGGTGATCCGCCCACCTCAGTCTCCCAAAGTGCTGGGATTACAGGTGTGAGCCACTGTGCCTGGCCAGGGTTCGTGCCTTTAAAAAGGAGGTCCTGGAGAGCCCCCTCGTGCCTTCCGCCCTGTGAGGACACAGCATGAAGAAGCGATCTAGGAACCAGGAAGGGGTCCTCGTCAGACCCTGAATATGCCGGCGCTTTGATCTTGGACCTCTAGCCTCCAGAAATGTGAGAAATCAATTTCTATTCTTTAAAAGCCACCCAGTCTGTGGTAGTTTATATTTTTTTGTTTGTTAAAATAGCAGCCTTAATAGACTAAGACACCCTCCCCGCTTCCATAGCTACCGAGTGGACAAGCTTCAATGAAATGACTCTTTTCACGTATGTGGCACCAGGCAGCCCAGGGATGCCAGTGAAATCTCTGAGTAACTCCCTTTGGCCTCTGGTACTGGCAGCTTCTCCTGTTAAGAGGGCAGTCCTCCACAAGTGTCTCGTGCCCCCCACCACTCACAGGGCCTGCCAGGAACGCAGGCCCTGAGTACCCTCCCCCATTTCTCAGGGTGGTTTGCCCTGAGAGTCCTCGAGGGACAAAGAGCAGCTTGCTCACTGCTTGCTGCACAAACAGCCGACTCCCCCAGTGCAGGGCTCCTCAGTGGCCATGTAAACTCACTGACTGTGCAGCGCCCACCCAGGCCTACCCGCATGGTGTCCGTGGAACTTGGGGGCAAGGGGCTAAGACCAAACACACAGGTGAGCACCTGCCTGCCATGCCGTGAATGACAAAGTCCTTTGTCTCTGACCCCGGAGTTTCATGTGTTCTGTCAGCATCCCTGCCGCAGTAACGGGCCAGCTCTTCCCTTGTAAGAAAAGCTAAAACCCAGTCCCAGAGCTGACACCACCTGGAGGAGGAAGTGCTCTTCCCTGCCCCTCAGACAGCCTCCTTGGCCACATGACTTGCTTTGGCCAGTGGCATGGAAGTGCAAGCGACACATCCCAGTTGTGTATGGCCACTGGGAGAGTGTGGCATGGTTTCTCCATCTCTCCTCCATGTCCTCCCTTGGTCAGGAGAACGGCATGTTCCAGAGAGCCACAGCTTGCTCAGCCTGGACCCCAGAATGAAGGAGGCATCAGGAGCTGAGCCACCCCATGGCCAACGAGAAACGTGAGTGGGAGGGGAAACTTGGTTGCTGTGATCAACCCAGGCTTGTGAGTTGTTTCAGCAGCACAGCCTAGCGAGAGCCGACCAATACGTCATGGATGAAAGAAAGTCAACAGGCGTGTAGAAGGAGCTGCCTATTGAGCATGTCGACACTTTTATGAATTACGTTGCACCTGAGTAAAAAGTAAGCAAACCTGTCTATTTACTTTAAATGATGTGTGCCAGTTATGTACAGCATGCAGAGTTAAGAAGGTGCCACCCCAATACAGGCTGCTCTGGCAGTCACTATTTGGAATCAAAGGCAGCTAAAAAAATAACAGGTGCAAAAAGACCATTCTGATCTCTCTTGTGTTTCTTAAAAGCGGAAGATGAAATTCCCGGGTGAAAGATGCTCTCCCTACACTAGAAAGCTCGGATCCTCAAGGATGAGAAGCTGAGACTCAGCAAATGCTGTACAGTCCTTGATAAAATGCCTCTCACCTTTTCAGGCCCTCACATCATCTAGCTGCTTCCTGGAACCTCACTGTTCTCCGTCCAACTCAGCACACGAGTGACTGAGGCCGCTTCACTGAGTCTTCATTTCCTTAGGAGGGCTCCCGAGCCACATCCAACATGAATCAAATACGTTGGCATGATGATCTGTCTTATCTTGATTTAACTCTTGGGCTCAGCCAGGACCTCAAAAGGATGGAGGTGGAGTTTTTCCAGGCCCTACATATGCAAACATACACACAGCATGTATCTGAGCGGCCACATGGGCTGGCCCTGCTGTTTTCTTACGGCTTCTCGGCCTCCCAGCCACCTTCTGCTCCGCAGCACTGGCGCTGGGAGGCTGCAAGCTCCTTTCCCACTCTCCTCTGCCTGCTGGCTTCCTGCGAGGCTCCTGCAGCGATGGCGCTGGTGGGAGATGCCAGGCGAGGAATTGATCTGGCATTCTTGTTTCTCGGTACGTCTCTGAAAATGGCTGAATCCCGTCTGGGATCCCAGCTCCCAAGGAGGCGGCGCTTGCTCACTGCTTGCACAGCACAACACGGTGGAGGGCCTCTCGTGCGCAGCCGGGGAAGGTAGATGGGCCCCTCCTGCTCAGCCCGAGACGGTGGAAGGGCATCCTCCTGCGCAGCCCCAGACAGCAGAGGGCCCCTCCTGACCAGCCTGAGACGGTGGAGGCGCCCCCTCCTGCAGAGTCCGACACGGTAGAGGGGTAGCCCTGGTCTCTGGGGGCTGCACTCCTGGGCTCTGGGGCTGCCACAGCTCCTCCCTCCTCGGGCTTCCCCTTCCTTGTTTTGCCTTTTGCCCTGACATAGGAACGACTTCCGTTTCCCTGTCTGGACCTTCACCACCCCAGGGCGAGGGCACAGGCGAAGGCAGCAGCAACCCCCCGGGCCTCCCATTATTTGGAATACAGTGTGGGGGCTCCCCCTTCCTTCTCCAGCCCGCCCAGGCCCCTGGAACTGTCCTGGGGAGTGAGGCCCTGTGCCAGGAGCACAGACTCTGCCAGGCCGGGCCCGCCCAGCTGGGAGCCCAGGCTGGGTGAACCTGTGACCCGGCCCTCATCCCAACTCGGTGATAAACGCTATCACAGGGCTGCAGTGGGGGAGGAACAGGACGCATCTGCCAGGCTCCTGACCCGCAGTGCACTTCTGGGAGCTGTGTTTATCTCCCCGGGCTCCATTTCGCCCCAACGTTTGGGGGGTTAAAAGCTGATATGCAACCGGCACGACATGAACAGTATTTTATGATTCAAGACAACGCGTCCATGTATAATTGAGATACCGCCGCATTTGCGGGGATTTTCAAGCGAAAACCAGACCACGTGGAAAGGCTAAGCCCTCGCACCCCCATTGCTGGGACCCCCGCCCCGCGGGAGACCCCGGGTCGCGGTCCCCTATGCCCGCGACCCCTGCGCTCACCCTCTCCCCTCAACCTTGAATCCAGCCCAGTTTCGCGCGAGCCCGCAGGGAGACCCCCGCCGCTCCCTGGACCACCCCTGGGTGCGCCGTCCCAGCCACCCCCCGGGACCACCGTGAGCCTGCTCCGCCTCCCGCCGCATTCCGCACAGGCGCATCGCGCGCCGAGGGTCGCACCGCCCAGCTCCGCCTGCTGCGCCAATGGCCGACGGAGTCCAAGTCTGGGCCCAACGGGAAGGCGGGGATGGGGCGGGGCTAGGGGCGGGGCTAGGGGCGGGACCGGGACGCGGGAGAGCAACCATCCAGCAAGGCCCGGATTGAGGAGGCGGGAGGGACCCAAGCAGGCGGACGCGGGGTTTGGCGCCGCGATCTCGAGGCTTGGCCTGGAGTGGGAGGGGAAGCAAGGCGTGACTAGGGGCGAATCCGAGGAGGCGGAGCAGGGCTCGGGGTGCGGAAGGGGCGTGGCCAGAGGCGTGGCTGGGCGCTCTGCGGCCATCTTGTGGGGGGGCCCGGGGCGGAGACGAGCCCGAAAGGGCGGGGCCTCGGCGGCAGCGAGAGAGGCGTGGCCGGGGCATCTCGAGGCGGGGCCTGGGGCTGGATCTGGGAGCCAGGAGCCGGGATCTGGGAACCAGGAGCAGGGAGCGGGGAGCTGGGAACCAGGGCGGGCGGCCGCGGCCATGAGCACGGTGGACCTTGCCCGCGTGGGCGCGTGCATCCTGAAGCATGCGGTGACCGGGGAGGTGAGACCGGGCGAGCGCAGGATGGTGGGCGCGTCCCCGGCTCTTGCCCGGGCGCCCTGGCAGCGATGGGGTGGTGGGGGCCGCGGGGCTGGGGCGGGACTGGGGGCCGTGGGGCGCGCCCCTGACCCAGCCGCCTGGCAGGCCGTGGAGCTGCGGAGCCTGTGGCGGGATCGCGCGTGCGTGGTGGCCGGGCTGCGGCGCTTCGGCTGCGTGGTGTGCCGCTGGATCGCCCAGGACCTCAGCGGCCTCGCGGGGCTCCTGGACCAGCACGGTGTGCGTCTGGTGGGCGTGGGGCCCGAGGCCCTGGGTCTGCAGGAGTTCCTGGACGGCGGCTATTTCGCGGGAGGTGCGTCCTGTTCCCCGACGCGGCGGCGCAGACACCCTTCCCTAAACTCAGGGCGTTCGGGGCCCTTTCTTGCCCAGCCCTGGCTCTTCTGTCTCCTGGAGTGGCCTTGATATGTCCACAGGTCAGCGTCCCTCGTCTCTCCCTGCCTCCCCGCCCCGCAGCTGGTGGCTGGGTGATGCCCTGCACAGACCTGAGCCTAGCAGCAGAGTCTGGGCGAGCTCTGCCTCGCCGGTTCCACCTGTCACCTCTGGGACTCAGCCCCTCTTCTGAGGGGAGGGGGTCACTCAGCCCTGTTTTACCTCTCCTGGCCCTGGGTGGGTGGGCTGAGCACGGAGGTGGGCAGAAGAACAGAGGGTCGGAAGGAGGAGGGTGATTCTTGGTGGTGAGTGGGTTGGGGGCTGGTTCCAGGCCTGGGGCACACATCTGTGGCTTCCGCTTTCCAGAGCTCTACCTGGATGAGAGCAAGCAGCTTTATAAGGAGCTGGGCTTCAAGCGGTGAGTGGGGACGGGCACCCTCAGGTCGCATGGGGCGGAGGGCCCAGGGGTGCCCACCACTCCCTGCCACCTCCTCTCCCTGCTGACAAGGCAGCTCTGGTGGCACTGTCGACCAGCCCTTCTGCCAGGCCTTCTCTTGGGTGCTGGGCGACTGTAACGAGCGACCTTGTCTAGGGCTTACTCTCGGTGTCCAGACCACCTTGGAGGTTGGAGCCTCGTGCCCCATCAGGGGCCATCCTAGCTTTCTGGTGTTTGTGCCACAGACTGCCTCCTTTGCTTGGCAGTTGCCAGCTGAGCCAGATCCCTGAGCACACCCAGCCTGCTCCATCCATGCTCCCTGCACCCTCTGTGGGCCCTTGGCCAGCAGCCACTGGGCTCGGTGTCCAACCTGCCGGTGGGCTAGGCTGGCTGCTGATCTGGCTGCCTGGGCCATCTCTGAGCCCTGGTGAGGTGAGTGGTGGGGTGGGGTGGGGCCTGACCTAGGAACTGGTCTGTGGACACTGGAGCAGGCTCTGGACCCAGGCTTCTCTGGAGTCTGGCCAAGCGACCTGGTGTCTTCGCAGGTACAACAGCCTGAGCATCCTCCCGGCGGCTCTGGGGAAGCCTGTGCGTGATGTGGCTGCCAAGGTTTGTGTGGGTCAAGGCTGTACAGGCCGGGGGGTGGTGGGAGCTCCCAGGGGCCTTTCCTCTAGGATTGACCCAGGCTTTGCCCACTCCTGATAGGCCAAGGCTGTTGGCATCCAGGGGAACCTGTCTGGGGACCTGCTGCAGAGCGGAGGGCTGCTGGTGGTCAGCAAAGGTGGGTTGAGGGAGGGGCCCCGGCCACTGCCTCAGGGAGGACCTTGCTGAACTTGGTGGCCTAGCCCAGGCCCTCTCTCTGGCTTGTCAATCTCATCACAGCCCCTCCACCGCAATGTGGCCTGGTTCTGCATGTCTGCTGGGCTGAGCTGGTCTGTGGCAGAACAGCTCACTCATCTGGGTAGCTGAGTGGGGGATATGGCCGGCCAGGTCTGCCCCGCCTTCCCTCCTCCTGGTACGTGGCTTTGAGGTGCAGGCAGCCTTCGGGGCGCCCTGACTGCCTGCCTGCTGCTACAGGTGGTGACAAAGTGCTGCTGCATTTCGTTCAGAAGTCCCCAGGCGATTATGTCCCCCAGGAGCACATCCTGCAGGTCCTGGGCATCTCTGCGGAGGTCTGTGCCAGCAACCCGCCTCAGGTGAGCTAGGCCTTGGGGGCACTGCCTGCCAACCCACGCCCTGCCCCCAGGTCCCCTGGGAGGAGCACTGGGCCTCGCTGGGAGCTGAGTCACAGCACCTTGGGTGTCATGCCAATTGTGTCCTGGGATGTGGATGCCCCTGTGACCCCACTTGCAGAGGGGGGCAGGCTGAGAGGGGCCGAAGGGCAGCATGGCTGGATGGACAGGTACCGCGAGGCTGTCCTCAGGGGTGGGGGCAACACATGGTGGACAGAGAGAGAGGCCTGTCCTCTCAGCCTCAGGAGGGCTGGGGATTGTTTGAGGGGACCCTCTCAGGCATTTGCCTGGTCCAGTGTCCAGTGGCCCCATGGGCCCCTGCTGTCCCCACAGTGTGACAGGGAGGTGTGAGGGAGGCGAAGGCCCTGGCCTCTGGGGATGTGGACGGCGGCTGCTGCCCTGGGTGAGATGGAAGTCCACGTGGAAGAGCCGTTGTGCAGTCGCTGGGCCGGGATGCCGAACCTCTCCTGATCCGCCGGCAGCAACGAGCCGTTAAAACTGCAGTTCCTGGCCGGGCGAGGTGACTCAAGCCTGTAATCCCAGCACTTTGGGAGGCCGAGATGGGCGGATCATGAGGTCAGGAGATCGGGACCATCCTGGCTAACATGGTGAAACCCCGTCTCTACTAAAAAAAATACAAAAAACTGGCCGGGCGCGGTGGCTCAAGCCTGTAATCCCAGTACTTTGGGAGGCCGAGACGGGCGGATCACTAGGTTAGGAGATCGAGACCATCCTGGCTAACACTGTGAAACCCCGTCTCTACTAAAAATACAAAAAAACTAGCCCCCGGAGCGTGTGGCGGCACCTGTAGTCCCAGCTACTCGGGAGGCTGAGGCAGGAGAATGGCGGGAACCCGGGAGGCGGAGCTTGCAGTGAACTGAGATCCGGCCACTGCACTCCAGCCTGGGCGACAGAGCGAGACTCCGTCTCAAAAAAACAAAACAAAACAAGAAAACACTGCAGTTCCTGGCCATGCACTGCTTCACAAGCGCCGAGCCCTGCATCCTCCATAGCTCCCGCCTCGCTCACTGTTGAGGCCCTCGGGGCGGGCAGGGTAGCTGTGAGTCCCAGGTGTCATCTTCCTGCTTTGCGAGTGTCTCTGGAGACCTTGGGCCTTTGGCCTGTGGGGCACTGGGGATGGTAACCTCACTGCCCTGTCAGTCCCTTCAAAGGCGACAGACCTGAACCCACGTCAGGAGAGGAGTGTGGGGTCAGCTGCAGCGGGGTCGGGGTCAGTGCCGTGTCTGGTGGGAGCCACTCAGGAGAGTTGGGTTTTCAGGGCAGAGTTGGGCTTGATTCCACCTGGTGGGGTGGGTAGACCCTGGAGACTCTCAGGTGATGGGCCAGCCTGCCCCAAGGCCCTTTACTGATGTCAGAATCATTGTTTGTACCTGCTGGGGATGGCCTGTGGGGCGGCCGGCCTGGGAGGGTCTTAGTCCAGTTAGGTATGTCCAGCTTCCTGGCCACCTTCCCTTGGGGATCCTAACAGGCCCAGAGCAGAACCCCTTACCTCCCAGGTCAGACTGCCTGCTCAGGCCCTCCCCTCCCGTGCAGGCCGGTGACAACAGCAGCCCTCCCTGCACTCCCTGGTCCAAACCTGGGGCCGCTGTGGGCTCCTGCGGGTCTCCCGGCTCCCCTCCCGCCCCAACCCCACCCTCTCAGTGGCCATTTACAAATGCATAGCAGGTGACCCACCGCGTCCCTTTGGTTCAGCCCCTCCTCTGGTTTTCAGTTACACAAAGCTAAATGTCAGGTTCCCAGCTGCAGCTCTCTGGGTCCCCGACGCCCCAGTGGGGCTCCCCGCATCTGAATGTGTGGTCCCTGGGGTGGGCACTTGGGGGCATCCTGGTCACTGCTGGCCCTGGCATTGGACCCTAGGAGACTTGACTGGAACTGGCTCCCTCCCCATCAGCTCCCAGCTGTCATTCTCCCCCCATCCCTGGGCAGCTGTTGTGCCCAAGGCCACTGCCACCTGTCTGCCCACCCTGGTCCCTCCCAGACAAGCAAGGCCTCTGATTTCTTTGAAGCATTTACTTAGCTCAAGTCTGAAGCTGTGGATATTGGAAAACAATGCACCTTGGAGGGTGGGCAGGACACAGTTGATCGTCTCTATAGGGCTGTGACGGGGGCGCTGAGCCCCGCGGGTATCCGTAGAGGGGACTCTGGGCCAGGTACTGCACTGGACACTGCTCATCCCTGGGTGTCGGGCAGGTGGCTGCACCCTAGGCCAGGTGCGGAGGCCTGGCAGGCAGGCTTGGCATGGTCGGCCGGGCCGGGACACATGCTGGGTCGCCGCTGGCTGCACCTTCTCCGCACAGATGCCTCGGAGCAGCGGGTGGGCGTGGGCCGCGCAGCGCGGCGGGGCCTTGGCTACCACACGCGGCATCGCTCCTTGGGGTGCATGGGGGTGCCCTGGGCACAGTGGAACGTGTCTGCAAAGGCGGCCAGGTTCTGCAGTGACCCCAGTACCCTGTGGGTGGGCGGGTGTGACAGCAGGAGCATTGCCATCTTGGACAAACACGGTCATTTTAAGTTCCCCGTGATTAAAAACCAGCCCAAAACATCAGCCTAATGGCTCATGTCAGTATGACCAGAAACATTTCAACTGTGAGATAAACCCCCATCTGACCAGAAACATGCCAATCCCGAGAATAACCTCCCTTCCAACCACAGATATTCCAACTCTGCAATAAAACTTTCCTTCACACAGAAACATTCCCAGCCTGTGGTAGGCTCCCCCTTCCTAAACCCTTAAATACCCTTAGTTGGTAAGAGAATGTTCTTGTCTGAAATTGGCCAGAAGCCCCTCTCAGGTTGATTCTAAAAATAAACCTGTCTTTGCTGAGCTGCTTTTTGTGCTTTCTTCTTTAACTCTTACAGGCCACTGGGGTGGGGGTGAGGGGGTTGTGGGTGGCAAAGGGGTTGTGGGTATGGAATCACTTGCCTGTACTTCAGGGGACTGTGGACGTCTGTCTTGATAGATTGGATGGCGAACTCGGGCCGGTAGGACCCACACCACACCTGTGGGCGTGTGGGGGATGTGGCTACAGGCGATGGAGATGGGGTGGCCAGGAGGGGTGGGGGAGGATCTCCACTATCCCCAGGCTGCCCCTTCTAGGGTGGGGTGAGGGGAGCCAGCAGGTGCCCCCCTCCTCCCATCAGCATTGGGATCCTCTCCAGCTCCTGCCCCCTGCCCCTCTTGCTTTTCCCCCAAGGGGCTTTGCACGCTGGGTTCTGGTCCCTGGAGGCAACCCAGGGCGGGCCCTCCAGAGATGAGTGGGGAAGCGTGGGGATGGTGGGAACAGGACTGTGGCTGCCACCTGGGCATAGCTGATGAAGAAGAGTTGCTCATGGGTGAGATCCAGGCCGGGCAGCTGCTGGTCCTTGCCACCTTCTGCCATCCACTTGAGGTAGGCCTGCAGGCACCGGATGGGAGCTGGGCTCAGGCCTGCCAGCCTGGACTCCAGAACCCTCAGATCTCAGGGCAGAGCAGAGATCTGGCTCCAGGACCTACCCCTGTGGGGGTCCTGCTGCTGCAGGGACTTTGTGCAAGGGCCCCTCGCACACTCCATGGATGAGTGCTCACCACTTCAGTCACTCAGAGACCCCTGAACTGGGCTCTAGGGGGGATCCCTGGCCAGGCAGCCCACTGCATGGTGCTCATCCTGAATGAGCCCCTGATGCCCCCTCCCCTGCCATGCTAACACCCCCTCCCCTGCCAGACCCCACCTTGCCCTGTCAGGCCCCACCTTGTAGGCTTGTCGCACCCCTCCGTTGTCGGCAATGTTTTCCCCAAGGGTGTTGAATCCGTTCACCTGCGCACAGGAGACAGGTCTGGGGCAGCCCCTGCCCGGACTCCCCTCTCCCTCAGGGCCGGGGCTGGGGATCCGGTCCCCCTGCAGCCTCGGTGCTGGTGGCAGTGCTCACGTTCTGTTCGTCCGCCAGGTCCCAGGAGTAGTTGCTGTACTGGTAGATCATGCACTGTGACTGCTCCCGGAAGTGCTGGGTGGAGAAGTTACTCCACCAATCCATCATGTTGCCGTTCTTGTCGAAGTTCCGGCCTGGGCAGGGGCAGAGGAGGGCTGCCCACATGCTCCTGGCTGCACTGTGCTCAGCCCCACGGCAACCACTGTGCCTGGCCCCTCCTGCAGCCAGCCCCAGTACGGAGAGCCCATGGTCTGAGCAGGCACAGGCTCCAAAGAGCAGCAGCTGCCTGGGGCTACACAGCCCCCAGAGAGGGAGGGCTTCAGTGGTCTCCCATGCCACCCCCTGAGGCTAGGGCCTAGTGCCTGGGTCCTGTGGTCTCAGAGGCATCATGGTTTAAGGGCTCCTCTTGTGATGCCCAAACTGTAAACCCCAGGTGAGGGGAGCACGTGGTCCCCGGGGACACAGGGCTGCCCATGGAATGTCCCGATGGCCGAGCCACAGGGGAAAACCAGCCGGGGCCCCTGTCCCAGGCAGGGCAGTCCCCACCAAGGGGCAGAGGTCAGCATGGCCATGGCGGGGGTGGCACACTCCCCTGGCGGAGGATGCCGGCCACCTGGAGAGGCTCCCCAGGCTGGGATCTGGGCTTCACTGCTGTGCTGGGCAGTGTTGTCATCCCCATGTCACAGGCCGTGGGAGGGAAGTGCCCAGTGCCAGGTGGAGTCAGGGTCATGGGCTGGAGTCCCTGGGTCCCCTCCGCCATGCTGGGAGTCAGTGCCCCCAGACAGGGCCCCACCCTGGCATTCAAGGCCTGCTCGGCCCCCACAGCTCCCTGAGGACCTGGCCTCGGTGTCCCCACTGAAACCACGAAGGGGTTGCATGGAGCGCCCCCAGGCCCCTTCCCAGCTGCTTCTCTGCGGAGAGGGGAGGGCATGTGTGGTTGGAGGGGCGGCCCCTCACCATTGTCGTCAAAGCCGTGCGTGATCTCGTGCCCGATCACCATCCCAATGCCTCCGAAGTTCAAGGCTTGTGGCTGCTCCTTACTGAAGAAGGGGGGCTGGAGGATCCCGGCAGGGAACACTGTCCCCAAGGGTGGGACAAAGAATAAACAGATGCATCTCCTGTGTGCCAGGCTCAGGGATGGCACCGCCAGGGGTTCTCACACTTGATCCCACAGACAGGCAGGCAGAGGTCAGGACCCCCTCAATTTACAGATGAGGACAGAGAGGTTCAGAGGCTGGGCGGGCTCATGCCTGGCAGACCCAGGACCTCAGTCCGGCCTCCTCCCACCATCCTGTTCTGTCCGCAGGAAAGGCTCCATGCCGCCTGCCAAGTCCCTCCCTGAGCCCCTGATGGGCATGGGAGCGAATGTTCCCCATGGGGCAGCAAGGGGTGATGTAGGAGAGCATTCCGAGAACAGGCTGGGGTGCCCCCAGGAGGAAGGGATGGGCAGGGAGCTGCAAGCCGCCCCTTCAACTCTGGCACCAAAAGGCTTGGGCGGGCGGGGAGGGGGAGGAACTTACCAATCTGGTTTCTGTTTGGGGAGTAGAACGCATTGACCACCGCCGCCCCGATGATCCAGCTGTGATAGACAAGCCGGTCTCTGGGAGCCGCCTCTCCGGGGACCCTCCCTCTGGGCTCTCTCTGCCTGGGTGGACCAGAGCCCACCCTGGCCACACCAGAGGAGGGGCCGAGGCCTATCCCAATATCTGGTTCCTTCCTGGGGTCCCTGAGGAGGAGGCGACTTGGGCCCCAGAAAGCAGAGGGTGAAGATGGGCCCAGTGACTGCCCCCCGAGCTGGCACTGGACCCCAGTCATGCATTGTCTCCCCGCCTGGCAGGTAGCCCTGTATGCCTTCCTGGCCACTCCGTGGGCCCCCCATGCTGTGCCAGCGATGCCACTCACAGATTTGGGTCCACCTTTTCCCGAAGCTTCCTGAGGCTCCGCTGGGCGCCCACCTTGAGGTTCTGCAGACTGTTCTCAAAATACAGGTCCTCTGAGAAGTTCAGCTATGGGAGAGGTGCAGTCACTGCCAGATGCTCGGGCTGGGCCCTCAGAGGGGCAAGGGGAGAGGTCTCGGGTGGTTGGGGAAGGACTTCAAGCCTCGCCAGGCGTCTGCACGTGGACAATCGGCTGTGGGTGCAGGTGGGTGGGGCAGCCCTGGCTGTGAGCATTTATGTGACTCTGAGCAAGTCCCTCATCCCTCCAAGCTTCAGTTTCCCCATCTGTACACTGAGGGTAGTGCTGGAGCCACCACCCTAGGGCTCGGTGAGGATAACTATGTTAGTATCCAGCAGGAGGGCGCAGGGCTTGGCACAGAGGACGCCCCAGGAAATCAGGGCCCATGTCCACGGTGTAGGGGGCGGTTTAGGGCTGGAGTGAGGGGCGTACGTTGGAGTACTCCTCGTCCAGGCGCCTGTCCGTCTCCTCCAGGATGTAGTCAGGGTGGCCGATCTGCTCCCGGATGCTCATGGCCTGAGTGGGGAGGAGGGACTGGTCAGTGGGTGCCCCACTGCGTATGGGGTCAGCCCTGGGGCCGGTCAGTGTGTGCCCCACTGTGGGAGGGGTCGGCCCAGGGCATCCTGGCTGTGCTATCCCTGTCCTGCGGGTGAGGGACTGGGGGGCTCCGGGACTTGGCTCTCACCTTGCAGTCTCTGGGGAGGTTTAATGGGGACAGAGCATTGAAGGCTCCGCCTACCTGACCTAGAACCCAAAAGCCCATCAGGGGTCTGGCTCTGCCCACCTGACCCACAGCCCAACAGCCCGCCAGGGGCCTGGCTCTGCCCACCTGACCTACAGCCCAACAGCCCGCCAGGGGCCTGGGTGGGGGCAGGGGCCCTGGAGGGGTCACTTGGCTGCCGTCTGTCACTTGGGTCCAGAGGGGCTTCTGGTGGGTCTGACCCTCACTCCCAAGGCCACTGCTACCCCCGCTGGCTCCTGGGGGGCACTGTGGATGTCCCAGGCCTAGCTTCCCACCCCTGCCTGCTTTTCCTCAGCTCCACAGTGGACGAGTGGTCCTGTCTGTGCCTCCCGGGGCTGCCTTCTCCCCATGGGGGCTGTCAGGCGGCTTTGGCGGGGCAGTGCTGCCCGTGCCCAGATCCAGTCAGGCTGCCCCGGCCTCTGCGAGCCATGTACCTTCTCCTGCGCCTTCTTCTTGGACTCCTCGTCCATCCAGCCCAGCTCGTCCAGCGTCTCCACAAACACTGCCCGCACCTTGTGAATGAGTTCTCTGACCTGGGAAGCAGGCATGGCCCTCGTGTCCCAGACTTACCTGGAGGGCAGATGACCAACCTTCAAGGGCTTTGGGGAGGTCTGGTCTGAACCTTGCCGGGGCAAGGCCCTGGGCTGCCCAGCTGTGGGCCTCTCGGGTGAGGTGTGGGGCTGCTGGGGGGACGAGATGACCACCCAACTTCAGGGTCCTCCCTGCTGGGCTGTGGGTCCTCATGGGCCTGGGGCAACTTGTACCACCTGTGCCTTTCCCAGCTGAACCTGTAGGGCCCAGGAGTGGGGCCCAATGGTCGGCTGGGGTCAGGGGCATGGGGGCCGGCACAGCTTCCCTTGGCCTCCCTCTGTCTGGTGCGCTGGGGCAGGTGTGGCTCTCCCAGGGGCCTCTAGGCCTGGGCAGGGTGGGAGTCCCAGGGCAGGGAGGCTCAGCGTCCCTGCGGAAGGCTGGCCCCAGGTGGGCCATGGACGAGGGGTGCCCACCATGCTCTTGCTGTCTCCAGGGAATGCCTCCCTGACGTAGAGGGAGCCCACGGCGTTCTCCATATTGCTGTTGACGTAGCCCACACACTCACGCCAGCGTACCTCCTCCACCATCGTGCCGAACAGCGCCTGGCGGGGCCACCCGTTCATCCCACCAGCCCCCACGTCAGCCTCGCCAAGCCTGGCATGGGGCCCTGGGCTTACGGGGTGAGCAGACCCAACTATCCTCAGACTCAGGGTGCCCTGGGGCCAGCAGGGGGCATGGGATGGTCTCAGCCTTGCCTCTGGGTGCTGCAGTGGCAGAGGGAGGATGGGCATGCCCTTGTGATTGGGGGACCTCCCCTGACTGAGAGCTGGGCCTTTACCCTGGGGAGCTGGGGGGTTCCTCCCCAGTCCCTGTCCTGGCTGTCTGGCTGGACTCTGCTCTCCAGGACTCCAGCCCCAGTCCCAAGGCACTGGGATGGTGCTGAACCCAGAGCAAGGCCTGGGACCACGTGCCTCTCAGCCACCAGCTCCCAGGGCCCTGGTCTCCCCATTGTTGAAGCAGCTGTGAGAACACCTGCTCATCTGTCCCCAGGGACACAGGGGCACAAGACTATGGACCCCAGACTCAGGCAAGCCCAGGGAGCGCTCTGCCCAGCGTCCTGCCACACCTTCTGGGCTGCAGGACCTCCTGCCCCCTAGGAAAGGGAGGCAGCCCTTTCTGCCTCCCCAGAAGCTCCTAGACTCAGTGCCCCACTGACGCTTGGCTCACAGATGTCTCTGAGCCCCCATGGCACCAGGAGGCTTGACTTGCCCCCAGTTTGCCTCTGCCTCAGTCTCCCCATTGCAGTGGGGGCCTCTGTCCCTCTCATTACTCCAGCAAAGGTCTTGAGAGTCCTGACTCCCCTCTGCCCTTAGCCCCTGTACCCAATCCCTCAGCTGCTGTGGCCAATACCTCCCCCGCATCTGTCTGTCTGCCACCACCCTGGCCAAACCCGTCACCTCACCTGGGTGACCACATTGGCCTCCATGCTGACACTGCCCCCTACCCAGCTCACTGTCTCCAGAACAGCCAGAATCCCCCTAGGGCCTCCCTTTGGTTCCCTGTCTCCACCCTAACCCCAGCCGGGAGCAGCCACAGTGACTACAGAGCAGAAAATCTGACCGAGCCTCTGCTCTTAGCACCCTGGCGGTTTTCAGACAGGGAGTACAACCCAAACCGACTGCTGTGGCCCACAGCCGCAGTCACCTCACCTCCCTCCCTGCCCTCTTCTCCTTCCTGTCCCCTGCTGACCCCGGGTCTGGCCCCCTGGTCCCTGCCTGCTCCTGCCTCTGGCCTCTGCACTGGCACTGGCTGTTTCTTCTCTCGGGAAATCACCCTGCCTTCTCTTCAGGCCTTTAAGGTCTCAAATGTCACCTCCCTGGAGCAACGCTCCCTGCCCTCGTCCCTCCCTGCCTCCGCACCACATCATGCTCTGTGGTTTTGGCAGAGCTGCGTTCTGCCTTGTTGACCGCTCATGGTTGACCAGCGTAGGCACCTCGCCCTGCCTCGTCCATGGCTGTGACCCTGGTGTGGACCTCGGTACCTGCCCACAGCTTATGCTCAGCATCGTGGCCTGAATGAATGAGTGCTGGGCCAGGCTCCGGGTGGGGCAGGGGCTCACCTTGCGGTAGTTCACTCGTGTGTCCTTGAATCTCTGGCTTAGGCTGCCAATGCGGTCCAGCACCAGACGCCAGACCAGGTAGTTCTGTATGGTCCTGGGGGCAGAAGGTAGAGGGTGAGGGGGAGAACAGGTGAGAGGTCTTTGCAAGGGAGGAGATATGGCCTAGGGCCCTTGGCCAGCACGTTCCACCCCAAACAGAGAGTTACGGGTGCTGGAGAAAACCTCCTCCAAGATCCAGCCCATCTGCCCCGGGTGCTTGGGATGTGACACATCTTTAATGTAAGGCTCCACTGGTCACTAAAGCTTAACCCATCATGTCCCACACCCCTCAGGGCAGATGCTTCATAGGGTCCCCTCCTGGGAGCAGAAGCTGTGTTGGGGAGGATGGGAGAGCAGGGGCAAAGATGCTGAGGCCTTTGGAGACCCTCCCTGGGCCTCACCTGGCTGAGTAGGTGTCGATGATGTTTTCAAGGTTCTGCAGGTAGGGGATGCCGTAGACCACCACTTCCTCATCTGGCAGCAGCTTGATTTTGACAGAGGATAGCACAGTTTGTATGAACAGAGTCCAGTTAAATCCCTGTGGATAGAGGAAGTGGGGAGAAAAGAGGGAGAGAGAGAGGGAGAAACAGTTCCTGCGAACCTAAGAAACCCAGCCCCCATTGAAGAATGTTCAAGGAATAAGAGAGAACGTGCAGGTAATCAGAATCAGGAAGGGGTGCGTGACATTATCACAGAGCCTACAGCTGTAAAAACCCAAGTGATCATGCAGATATATGTGAAAGAGAGAGAACGTGCAGGTAATCAGAATCAGGAAAGGGTGTGTGACATTATCACAGAGCCTACAGCTGTAAAAACCCAAGTGATCATGCAGATATATGTGAAAGAGAGAGAACGTGCAGGTAATCAGAATCAGGAAAGGGTGCGTGACATTATCACAGAGCCTACAGCTGTAAAAACCCAAGTGATCATGCAGATATATGTGAAAGCCTAAGTATAATAGGCAAGTTCCTAGAAAAACACAACTTAGCAAAAACGACAAAAAAAGAAATAGAAAATATGAATAGTCTTCTAGGTTAAATAAATGGAATCCTTTCATTTAAAAAATTTTCAAAAAGAAATTTCCAGACCCATCTGGCTTCACCAGTGGATTCTATCTGACATTTAAAGAAAACTGCCAATCGTACTAAAACTTTCCAGAGATGAGAAAATGCTTTTCAACTTGATTTATGAGGCCAAGAATAACCTTAATACCAAAATAGGATATTATAAGCAGAGCAAATAATAAACCAGTCTCATTTATGTCATAAATACAAAAGTTCTAAGCAAAATATTAGCAAATAGAACCTAGCCATACTCATACAAAATGCCATAATACCTCACAGCTGAATTAGATTTATTCAAGGAATACGAGTTCAGCATAACATTTGAAAATCAAATCATTTTAATCCACTACGATAACTGAATAAAGGAGGAAAGTCACATGATCATTTCAAAAGGTGCAGAAAAGGCATTTGATAAAATCTGCTATCTATTCATAATAAAAACGCTTGGCAAATAAAAATAGAAGGGGCCAGCCACAGTGGCTCACGCCTGTAATCCCAACACTTTGGAAGACTGAGGTGGGTGGATCACCTGAGGCCAGGAGTTCAAGATCTGTCTGACCAACATGGCGAAACCCTGTGTCTACTAAAAATACAGAAATTAGCTGGGCATGGTGGCACACGCCTGTAGTCCCAGCTACTTGGGAGATTGAGGCAGGAGAATTGCTTGAACCTGGGAGGCAGAGGTTACAGTGAGCTGAGATTGCTTCACTGCACTCCAGCCTGCGTGACAGAGCAAGACTCTGTCTCAAATAAAAAAAATAAAAAAAAAAGAAAGAAAGAAAAAAAGAAAAATAGAAGGAAAGTTCTACAATCCGATAAAAGAAATGTATGAAGCAGCAGCAACAAAACTCCATAGCAAACATAACTTTTTTTAAAATTTATTTTTGAGACAGAGTCTCGCTTTGTTGCCCAGGCTGCAGTGCAGCAGCGTGATCTCAGGTCACTGTAAACTCCGACCCCTGGGTTCAAGCAATTCTCCTGCCTCAGCCTTCCTAGTAGCTGAGATTACAGGCATGTGCTACCACACCTAGCTAGTTTTTTTATTTTTAGTAGAAACAGGGTTTCACCATGTTGGCCGGGCTGGTCTCGAGCTCCTGACCTCAGGTGATCCACCTGCCTCGGCCTCCCAAAGTGCTGGGATTACAGGTGTGAGCCACTGTGCCCAGCCAAACATAAAATTTAATGGTAAGAATGTATGTGCTTTTCTTCTAATGTCTACTATCATGACATCAGCATTACGCTAAAAATCCTGGCCAGTTCAGTAAGAGCAAACATGAAATAAAGCCAGTAAGAACTGAAAGAGAATAAATAAAACTGGACCAGGCGTGGTGGCACATGCCTGTAATCCCAGCACTTTGGGAGGCCAGGGTGGGAGGACTGCTTGAGTGTAGGAGTTCAAGACCAGCCTGGCCAACATAGTGAAACCCTGTTTCTGAAAAACAAAAAACAAAACAAAAAATCAGTCAAGGCATGGTGGTGGTGAATTCCTGTGGTCCCAGCTACTCAGGAGGCTTGAGCCCAGGAGGTCAAGGCTGCAGTGAGCCATGATTGTGCCACTCCACTCCAGTCTGTGTGACAGAGTGAGACCCTGTCTCAAACAAAAACAAAAACAAAAAACCCAAGCCCCCTGTTGTTTTTCACAAATGATACGATTTTGTTTATTCTACAAATAAATAACCAGAATTAATAAGTGCATTAAGACTGCATATTTACAAAGTCAGTATTTCCATATGTCAGCAACAAATGAGATAACTTCAAAATGATTCTATTTATAGTAGAAAACCAAACACCTGGAATATATCTAATAAAATATGTATAAGAACTTGATATTGAAAGTTTTAAAAGTTATTAACAAAAACTGAAGCATAAACGGAAGCATATACCATGTTCATGGATTGGAAGACTCGGCATTGCAAAGTCTTCCCCAAATTGATACAGAGATTCAAAGTGATCCCTATCAAATTTCTAGCAGGGTTTTCTCTTTGTGTGTGTGTGTGTGTGTGTGTATGCAAATGACAGGCTGATTTTAAGTTTTATATGAATATGCAAAGGACTGAGAGTTATCAAGACACTCTTGAAGAACAAAGTTGACATACGTACTCTACTGACTACCAAGACATTATAAAGCTGAAGGAGTGAGGGGGTAGGGGTTATCACTTGGGTAGATAAAGAGACCAGTGGGGCAGAAGAGAGTCCAGAAATACACATATGGGCCCACACAAAGACACACAGGGACACCTGATTTATAACACAGAAAGCACCAAGACCAGGGACTCACAGGGGGCTCTTTTTAATAAATGGTGCTGATTGACTGGAAATCCATAAGAAAGAAACAATTCCTACATCTCACTGCTCATTAAAAAAGTCAACTCAAAGTAGATTGTAGACCTAAGCAACCTTGAGGGTAGGCAAAGAGTTCTTTAGCAGAACGCAAAGAATACTAACCATGAAGAAGAGATCTGCACACGTTTGCTAAGTCAATAAATTGGACCATTTAATAGCCTCCTTCAAAACAAAGAAACTCTTATGAGAGTAAAAAAGCAAAGCTGCCCAGTGGGGAGAACATTTGTACACATAAGCTGACCAAGGAGTCACATCTAAAATAGGTAACTCCAAGAAGCAATAAGAGAAAGATCGCCCGATAGAACAAACGGGCAAGACTCGAACAGATGTTCCACAAAAGGGAACGGCATTGGCCAGTTGTCAGGAGATGGCGTTTAACCTTATCTGCCCTTGGAGAAAGTCACGTTGAACCCAGATGAAACCCCACTACACAGGTGCACAAACGGCTAAGGCGAGGACAGACACCACCCAGCACGGGCGAGCATGTGGCACCAGCCGCTGTTGGGGAGCGCACATCCCTGGATGACTCTGGGGAAAGACGGTGCCTGTTACTGTTGAACAGATGCGTGTGCTTCGACCCAGCAATTCCAGTCCCACCCACTTGCCTGCCACAGGCACACACAGGCATGGGCACGACAGCGTCACTCAGAAAAGGCCCAGAGACAGCACAGTGGGACCCGAGTTGTCGCATGTTCTTAGAGTCAGAGGCCACTCAGCAATCGAGAGGCCACGTCAGGGACCGGCCTCCCTCCAGGGAGAAGTCAGGATCATCTTCTCCAGGGAAGGAGGCGTGCACAGGGGCTAGGCAGGGGCATGTGGGGGCTTCTGAGATGTCGGTGGTCATGTAAGTCTTGATCTGAGGATCTGAGAGGTGGTTGTGTGGACGTGTTCACTTTGGGGCAATTCTGAGCATCCTAAACCCTTTGTAAACTAAATGTCCCCAAACCCTGGGCTCCTGGACGCTCCCCTGAACCTGCCGTTGTGATGTCTCCACAACAACCTCAGGCCATCTGAGTTCTCTCCATATTTAGTCCGTTTGCAAACCCTGTTGGCTCCACCTCCGAAATCAATCCACCACGGGCAGCCCACTTGACAGAGCTGCCATCTCTTACCCGGGCTGTGTGGCAGCCTCTGATTGGCTTCTCTGCCACCTGCCCTGTCCCCTTCACTCACTCTTACTTGTGAACTAGGTCACGTCCTGTCGCACCCCCACCCTTCCTGGGCAGAGTCTGAGACTTTGAAGTGGCCCCCAAGGTCAGACACGGTGTGCCCCGCTTTACTTCCTACTCCATCTCTCTCTAGGCCTGGCACTCACTAGCCGGGAGTCCCTGCCCCAGACCCTTGGGAATTGCTGTGTGAGACACGCTGGCCCCAGACAGCCATGGCCCTTGGTTCTCTGCAAGGCTTTCCCTCCTGTCTGCTGTCCTGGCTGAGCTCATCCTCACCAAGTTTGGGTGATCAAATACAGGGTCTCCCTGCTCGGGGATAAACGTGAGGCAAGGTGCCCTCTCAGCGGGCCGCTTCCATGCCCCGTTTCTGTCTTTCTGATACGTTTTAGAGGTCACTCTGCTTTCCTGTCCCTCTCCCGCACTGGAACCTCGATCGAGACAGGCCTTTGTTTGGGAAGGGGATAAAGCCCAGGGCCAGAATAGAGCCTGGCCCCACTGCAGGTGTTCTGGGCGTGAGGGGCGGCGGGGTGTTGGGGAAGGTGTGTCCCTGCAGGCCAGCCCTGGAGACCAGCACCGATCTAGAGACCACCAGCCTTCCAGGGCACTAGGTGCCCTGGGGCGAGGCTCTCCCCAGAGTCTCTCTATCTTGCCCTTGGCAAGAGTTGTGGCTCTAGACACTCAGGGACATCCCCTGGTTGAGGGGGCAGGGGCTTTGGACCCCCTTCTGCCCTTGCCCTCCCTCGCTGACTTGGGCGCCCTTTGCCAAAGCTGCACACCTGCGCCTCCTTGGGGAGGAGGCCCTTGAGAAGGCCGGCTGCTCCAGCAGGGTGAGAGTCAGTGGAAGGAGTGGGGAACTTGTCCCTTCCCAGGCTGGGCTGCTCCTCTCTAGCCCCTACCTCAATGCACAGGGCAGTGCCTGGCCTGGGCACTGGGGAGGGGAGCACCTGAAGGTGTGGCCAGGGGGAGCTGCTACCCTCAGGGCAGGCAGGACTGGGAGGCAGCACCCTGCTAAGGTTCTGAGCCTGACTTGGGGTCTGAGAGCCCTGGGTGGGGCCCTGCACACCCCACACATCAGCAGCCCCCTGAGGCCTCCGTTTCCTGCTCAGAAGACCGGGGCCATCACAGCACCGCACTGATGGGTGACTCTGTTCCAGGACGGCACAGTTGGCACTGCTGTCCCAGTGACATTAGAAATCGGGCTGGTGCTGCTCTGCAGCAGGTTTGAGTGATCAGATACAGGGTCTCCCTGCTCGGGGATAGGGAATGTTTCTGAGCTTAAATGCGAGGCAGGGTGCCCTCTCAGAGGGTCACTTCCATGTCCCCCACGACTCTCCGCCCGGCCAGCGCCGGCTTCCTGTGTGGTGTGGCCTCACCTTCAGGTCAAACTGGCTTTGCAGCTCCTCCAGGCCCATCCGGTGGTACAGGGCGATGACGTCGTGCCTCTCCTCCTGGGGTACCGTGGCCTGCGCCGGGGAGAGCGGTCACACAGGTGGGTGGCCAGGAAGCCCCCTCGAGCTCCCAGCTCATTCCCTGCCTGCTACCGGCCCACCCGGGACCCCCTCACCTTGGCGAGCCACATCATCTGGGGCTCCTGGCCCACTCCCTGCCCACTCCCGCCCACCCTGGCCTCCTTACCTTGGCCAGCTGCGTCTCCAGCTCCAGTACCTGTGCCATGTCCTCCTGCACCAGGTGGCTGTCCCTGGGTAGGTTTGCGTCCTCCCGCAGCATCGTGGCCACTGACACCATGAACTGCAGGTAGGCTTCCCGCACCTGGGCCAAAGGACGCCGGGCGGGGCTGGATGACCTTGGCCACCATGACCCCCAGAGAGCTCTCTGTGGGGGTGGGGTGGGCGTAGGACACGGGGCAGCCCCTGACGTGCGTCCACCCACCTTGACCAGCAGGCACTCGGGCACACAGAGTGCCGAGTGGGAGCATCTCAGATGCATGACCTGTGCCCGAGCCTCTGGACAGGGGACCTACTCTGCGGGACTGCTCAGGGCTTAAACTGTGTGGCTGCCTGTAAGAGTTGGCACAGGGTGGGTGCCAGGGCTGTGGGTGCTGGGGCTGTGGGTGCTGGGGCTGTGGGTGCCAGGGTGGTGGGTGCTGGGGCTGTGGGTGCCAGGGCTAATTGGGGCCTCCCTACCCAGGTGCTCCCTGGCCTGAGGGTCAGGAGTTGGATCCTGAGGAAGCTTGCTCCTCAGGGAGCTGCCTTCTTCACGCTGGGCAGGGCTTCCCCAGTGCAGGCCAATGCCCTGGACAGGCTCAGCCCACAGCTGCCCGGTCTGAACACATGGCCATACATGGCGCTTTTGAGATGCTCCAGTCCCTCCTGCTCTGGCCTGGTTCTCTCAGCACCACTGCCCACCTTTGGCCACACGGCCCTTCCTCTGGGTTTGGTCATCCTTCAAAGTCTAGCTCATAGCCCACCTTCACCAGGAGGCCCCCTGGATTGTGTCTGGCCCTCTGGGGCATTCATGCCTCATGCCTATTCACCTCTGCCCTGGTGCCTGGATGCCTGTGCCCTCCTCACCTGCTCCCTGTCCTTCCCCACCCTTCCCTGCACCCCGGGCTAGCCCTGGGCCTGCCGGCCTCAAGGTCCCCTCGTCCACAGTGGGGGTCCTCATCGCTCTCCTCTGTTGACAGCCCCTTGAGGTGGAGCAGGCGCGGGGCCTGGCTGCCTGCGCTCAGGTCTCCAGGGGCCCTCCCAGCAATCCGGTGCGGGGGAGCCTGGTTCTGTATGACGGGACGGGGGAGGTGGAGCAGGCGCGGGGCCTGGTTCTGTATGATGGGACGGGGGAGGTGGAGCAGGCGCGGGGCCTGGCTCTGTATGATGGGACAGGGAGGGCAGTTCTGCCCCACGGGGCTGCTGCTGAGCTGAGTTTGTCCCCGGGCTTGGCCCGGGTGTTGAGGCAACGTCCCCCCAGGATGGTGGCAAGCAATGGGTTGCGTCTGCATCCCCGCCCTCAGTGCCAGGTTCAACCTCCACAGGTGCTCATAACACCAGCTTTGGGGAAGGAAAGCCAGGTGGGCTACAGGAGGGCCAGGCCACGGGGTAGGGGGCGAGGCGGTGTCTTGGGGTCGTCTGGCATTGTGGTGAGGACCCACCCACCTTCCGGTTGCTGCCACCGTTGAAGTAGTACTCTCGGGAGGGCATGCCCAAGGTGGGCTGGTCTATCTGGAAACACAGAAGGTGTGACCCTGGGCAAGGGGCCCGGAGTCCCCACAGCCTGGCTGAGGCAGGCAGCAGCCTCCTCCCCCCAGGACTGTGCTCCGTGGACACATGTTCTGCCCAGGAGCTGGTGGCAGAGCTCGTGCTGGACCCGGGAGCCCAGGCCCTGCCCTGAGTGATGGTGGGGTGCTGGGCTGGACTGGAGAGGGTGGCAGGGGTGGGGGGCAACAGTTCAGGCTGCCCTGGGCCTCGCAGCACCCGCGGCTCCCCCAGAGTGGGGCGTGTATTTGTTTCGTGTGTTTCTCTTTGGCCTCCAGCCCGTGGCCAGCAGTGGCTCCCTGAGGTCAGGCCTCCTGCCCTGGTTCCAGCCGTGCTGTTCAGGAGCCCTGCTCCTCTGACCAGAGCCGGGTTCTGCTGTGGCCACCAGCTCGGCCAGGAGGCCTGACAGAAACTCCAGCAGCAGCAGCTCATCCCCGGGCCCATGGACGTGGACAGGAGCCAGGAGCCCAGGCCCCAGGAGACCCTGGAACTCCCTGACCGCCTGGCCTGTCCTCCTGCTGTGCTGCGAGAGCTCCCAGCCAGGCTCGGGGACCCTGCCTACCCCTGCCCACCGGCGCAGCTCGTACGTAGATGATGTGCCGGCTGGAGTTCTGGTCATCGTTCCAGATGAAGAGGTCGATGAGGACGCGCCTGTTGAACTGTGAGTTCATCAGTGCCAGCTGCCGCTCCAGCTCCCACTTGAGTCCTGGGGAGGCAGCGCCCCGCTCTGGAGACTGGCGGGCCCTGGGGTCCCAGCCCGGCCCCTTGTCAGTGAATCTGGCCTCCGGAGCTAGGAACTAGGGGGCCATAGGGTGGGGAGCTCACCCGTGCGCCTTAGGGACTGGGGAATACGGGAGACACTTTCCCTAACAGCCCAGGAGCCACAGGCGGGCCCCCAGGTGACGGGAGGGGGTTGGACGCAGCAGGGGGTCGTCAGGGCTGCCAGCCACGTGGGGCGTCACTCCTGCCCCCAGGGGAATGAAGCGCATGCTTAGAGTGGGGAACCCTGGGGCCAGGGCCTGGCTGGGGCCTGAGCGTCAAGTGCTCCTAGGGGCTGAGGAGGGGCGTCCCTCTGCAGGGCTGAATGGGACTGGCTATGAGGCACCAACTCCCCAGCATGGAGCCTAAACCACCTCCCAGGACCCCGAGGTTGCCCTGGCTGGGTTGGGCCTCTTGGGGCTCCTGAGAGCAGGCAGCTGGGGGTGGGGGTGGGGTCCCCTCCTGGAAAGTCTCGGGCCGAAGGAGTCCTGGCCCTGGTCCTGTTCCGTTTGTCTGTGAGGCTGCCACCAGGCCCGGCCTTACCTACAGTCTCGTTCCACTTGTCCATGGCCACCGGCCAGCCTCCCACCACCTCCAAGATGTCCAGCAGGGGCTGAGAGCCTCGCTTCTCTATCATACCTGAGGAGGGAGGCAGTGGTCACTCTCCCAGCCTCCCTGTGGCTCACGTGCCACGACACAGAGCTGTGGGGGCACTGTTGGCCGGTGTCACAGGTCCCCACACCCCCTGCAGTGCTCGGCGAGAGGCGGCCTCCCAGCCTGGGCCTTTACACCTGCACCCTCCCCTCACAGAGCAGCATCCTGGCAGCTTTGCAGCACTGGAGGCGGAGGCTGAGGCTGGATACGGGCGTGAAAGGAGACCTGGGGGCTGAGAAAAGCGCACGAGCCCCGAGGGACAAAGAGGATGGTGGGAGGGAGCCCCTGGGACCTGGGAGCCGGCCAGCAAGCGAGGAGCCTGGGAGAGGAGTGGAGGCTCTGGGCACAGGCCAAGCCTCGGCGAGGACTCAGGCAGCGGCGGTGGGTGCCGGGTGGGCTGGGAGGGGGTGTGGGGGAGGCAGGGGAGCCCTGGGGCCTGTGTGTGTCCTGTGTCTCAGCTCAGCATGGTGGGGCCCCGACCAGCAGCTCAGGAGCCCTGCAGTGGAAGATTAAGTAAAGGTGGGGACACGGACAGAGTCACTGTGGGAATCCGTGAAGACCACCCAGAGGGCAAAGCGAAGGCTTCGGGGCTGGCACAGCATGGCGGGCGCACTGTCAGGTCAAAGGCCTGCAAGGAGCGGCAGGGCTTCCTAGTGGAAGAGGGGAGGCCCAGGTGGGCCGAGTGGGGGCCGCTGGCCTGGGGACGCTGTGGTGGGCTCACTAGAGGCTGGACTCCTCCGGGCTTGGCTCGGGTCCTACGCTGGAAGCAGGGACAGACATTCCAGGGGAGGCTGCCCGGGACGAGGCAGGCCCCGGCTGTTTGGGGCCGGATGCCGTGGGGGTGCCGTCTGACCTCCTGGGCTGCCCACTGAGGATGAAGGGATGGGTTCCGGGCTGGGCTGCAGGTCCGGAGTCGCGTTCCGGTTTTCCACATGGTCTGGCCCCTGCCCTTTGTATATTCAGCCTCTCAGGCCAAAAATTAAGTAAAGGTGAGGACACAGGAAGTTGTCTGCAGCTGCGGGTATTGCCCAGACTGGGGGCCCGGCCTTCAGTTTCCGTGGGGAGGAGACAAGCCCAGTGCACGCAAGCAGGGGTCTCATGGAGACGCCCCCTAAAGCCAGGGTCCCAGCGAGTTCCGCTGTCAGGCGGAGTCTCCACGAGACCCCCTGGGGAAAACAGCCAGCCCTGAACCCTGGTGCTCAGTGGAGGAGCTGTCTCTACGCAGCCACAACCACAGGCTGGGCCTGCAGACCCCCAAGTGGAGGAGTTAAACGGTGCTGGACCGGGGGTGCTCCAAGCACGTGAATTCCTTTAATGGGAACTGAAACATGGATAATCTGCCCCACACCACACACATACATCCACATGCATCCACATGCATCCACATGCATCCACATACATCCACATCCACACACACATGACACATGTATACAATATACACAAAACACATATACACACATACACATATACACATCCACATCCACATCCATCTACATGCACACACATGCACATATGACACATACATAGAAAACACACGTAACACATATACACACATACACATATACACATACACACACATACACATATACACATGCACACATCCACATACATCCACATGCACACACACATATGACACACATATAAAATGCACACACAACACATACACACATACACACATACACATATATACATATACATACACACATATACACATGTACACAAGTACACACAGCACATATGTATATAATACACACACACAATACACACATACATGCACACACAGCATACATGTATGCACACACAACACACCCATAGAATATATATGTATACACATACATGCATATGCACATAATACACTTATACACTATACGCAATACACATGTGATGTGCACATAACACATGTGCACACATAATGCACACACATATATACACACTGCATGCATACATATACACATATACATAACAATATACATACATACATACACACACAACACATGTACCCACATGTACACATGCACAAATCACATATACACATATACACAGATGCATGCATGTGCACATATACATATATACACATACACACACATAAACACACAATGTGCATGCCTACATATACACACAACACACATATACGCACATAAATGTATAATATGCATGTATAATACACATGTGTATACACGTACTCATGTATTATACACATACTCATGTATACAATGTATAATACACATGTATACAATACATGTATACAATGTATAATACACATGTATACAGTGTATAATACACATACTCATATACATATAACACACACACACACAGTCTTCCTACGGCCTGGAACGTGTGGTCTGTGCTGGGGTTGGGGTGTGAGTGAGGCCGCAGGGCAGCTGGCATTACTGTGAGCCTGGACCCCGTGACTGGGAGCAGGACACAGCACACAGACCCTCTGGCATGAGTCCCGAAGGCACCCACTCCTGCCCTAGGGGCAGCCATGGAGTCCTGGGGCTGTGCTAGGCCCTGGCAGGGGCAGCCCGCCCCCGTCCCCCGCCTCGGCCCCTTCCTGGCGGCCCCCACTCACTCTGATTCATGCAGGAGCGGTACAGCGTCCTGGCCTTCTCCACAGCCGGCCGGTCCTTGGCAGTCGAATTCTCCAGCACCGCTGTGGGCACAGGAAAAGGTTGGACAGAGGCCTGACGAGGCTGTGGGGGCCAGGTCACAGGTCCCCACACCCCCTGCAGCGCTCGGCAAGAGGCGGCCCTCCAGCTGCTGGGTCTTTATTCCCTCTCCTCCGTGCCCACCGGACCAAGAAGGAAGCAGAAACGGGGCGAGACACAGCCAGGACCAACTCCTGGCCCAGTGCCGTCCTGTTCGGTGTCACCCCGCTGCTCCCCTGGCCA